GCACAGCCGCTGGAGCGACCTCATGTGCGACCTGGCCTACCGGGCGGTCTTCACCGTGGCCGTGCACGGCGACGGGTCCGAGAACTCCCGCAACGAGGTGGACATCAAGCGCTTCGCCAAGGTGGAGAAGGTTCCCGGCGGTGAGATCGAGGAGTCTCGCGTGCTGGACGGTGTGATGCTCAACAAGGACGTCACCCATGCCCAGATGCGCCGGCGCATTGAGAACCCCCGCATTCTGCTGCTCGATTGCCCGCTCGAGTACAAGAAGGGCGAGTCCCAGATTTCCGTCGAGGTGCGCTCCTTCTCCCCCTCCCTCCTCCTCTCTTTCCCTGTGCATCGCTTGTGTGATCATCTGCCACGATGGGCATTCCTCCTTCCCCCCCCCTCCCTTTTTTGCCTCCTTCTCACCATGCCGCGCGCCTGGGCCTGCACACGCACACACGACTGTACACAGATCACCAAGGAGAATGACTGGAACCGCGTCCTCCAGATCGAGGAGGAGTTCATCAAGAAGATGTGCGACGACATCATCGCCCTCAAGCCGGATCTGGTGATCACTGAGAAGGGTCTTTCCGGTACGTGTTTTGGCATGGATGCATGGTGTTGCTGCTGTCCTCTGGGCCTCCTGTCTGACCGCCGGTGTCCGCTGCTCTCCCCTGGCGCCGGCAGACCTTGCCCAGCACCACCTCCTGAAGGCCGGTATCAGCGCCCTCCGTCGTGTCCGCAAGTCCGACAACCTGCGCATTGCCCGGTACGAGCATCTCACGATGTGTCCCCCTTCTCGCATCGGCATCTCCCCTGCTCGCCGACTCCGCGGGCTTTGCCCCCCCCCCCCCCCCCGCGCGCGCCTGCATGCGCGTCCCGGCCGCTGACACAGTCACCATCCTCCGCCCCCTCGCACCCACGCACCATGAACAGCGCCTGCGGTGCCACCATCGTCGACCGCACTGAGGACATCAAGGAGAGCGACATCGGCACCAAGTGCGGCCTCTTCTACGTCGACAAGATTGGCGATGAGTACTTCTCCTTCATCGTCGACTGCAAGGAGCCCAAGGCGTGCACCCTGCTCCTGCGCGGTGCCTCGAAGGATGTCCTGAGCGAGGTCGAGCGCAACCTGCAGGATGCCATGAACGTGGCCCGGAATGTCATCTTCGAGCCGGCTCTCCTGCCCGGTGGTGGTGCCGCCGAGATGGCCCTTGCCACTCACCTCAACGAGTATGCCAAGTCCATTGAGGGCATCCACCGTGGCCCGTTCGCCGCCATTGCCAAGGCTCTGGAGGTCATCCCCCGCACTCTGATCCAGAACTGCGGTGGCAATGTCAACCATATCATCACCCAGCTGAAGGTGCGTACACCGAGCCCCCTCTCTGCCCGAGGAACGGGGCAGGCACATGACTCCTCCGTGTGGTCTCTCCCTTCCCCCTGGCCTCCTTCGTCCTCTTGTGTCGGAGCAGCGACGGGGGGAGGGGGGCGGCCAGTGTATATATGCGTGTGTGTGCGTGTGTGCTGACCCCTTTGTGTGCTGTGTCATTTCGGGCCGGCGTGTGCCTGTCCTCTGCTCGCGCCTCCTCCCCTCCTCCCATGCGCAGGCCAAGCACGTCGCTGGCCAGCACACCTTCGGCATCGACGGCGACCTGGGCACCCTGAACGACATGGAGGCCGGCCCGCTCCACGTCTGGGAGCCTTTCTCCGTCAAGGCCCAGACCCTGAAGACTGCGATTGAGGCGGCCTGCCTGCTGCTGCGCGTGGATGACATCGTCTCCGGCCTCTCCCAAAAGGGCGCCCACTAAGCGTGTATGCATAGCCATGCACGTCCGCGCGCGCGCGCGTGTCTCTCTGCTCTTTGCTCCCCTTGACTCTCCCCCTCTTCTCCCCTGCGCGCCTGGCTCACCGCGCGCGCGCGCGCACATGTGCGTGTGTGCCTTTCCCATGCACCCACAAACACATGGAAGAGACAGGCGCCGGGGGGGGGGGAGGACGCCCAGGCGGCGAGCCAGCAGAAAGAGAGCAAGAGTGATAGGTGGCGGGAGAAAGCGGCGGCGAGTGCAAGGGGGGGCACCCACGCGCACGCACACACATGCTCGTCGCTGGATTCGGCCATGGTGGTGCTCGGTGCCTCTCCTCCCTCGCGTCGCTCCTCTGCGCGTCTCCTCTCCCCCTTTCTCCATGTCCTTCTCCGATCGTGTCACCTCCTGGCCCTGGCGCTCCAGTCTCTCCCCATCAGCGGCCACGCCATGCACGTACTTCTGTGCACACGAAAGCTCCCCTTCCTCCTTGCCTCTCTTGCCCTCCCCTCTCCTGTATGTTTCGGGCATGTGCCAATGCCTGCTCGGAGCCGGGCCAGGGGGGGAGGGGCCATGCACGTCCTTTCTCCCCCCTCTCTCTCTCTCCCCCCCCCCCCCTCCCCCCTTGTATTCCCCCCTTCTTCCCCTCCACTGATAGACAGTACCCGAAAATCTGCCATAAAAAAACATATCTTCCTTGCCCCTGTCTGCTGCTCCTTTTCTCCTCTTCTCTCATCCTCTCAGGGGCGGCGTGTGTATGTGCGTGTGCGTGTATATGCCTCTTCGCTTTCTTTTGCCTTTTCTGCCAACTGCCGGGGTGTATATTGGACCAGCGAGAGGGGAAAAAGAAAAAAAAAAAGGACCCCAGGTGGCGCAAATGCGTGTCACGACGATGGGGATAGGCGGCTTTGGGACGGGGCGGCATGGCACACGTCACGCAGGGGGAACCATCCCCTCGGCATCTACTCCTGGGAGACATGATACTTACGGCAGAAGTCGGCCATACGAGCGAAGGCCTCGGCCAGCTTCTCCTTGGGCGAGGTGAAGACAATGCGGAAGTAGCCCGGAACACCGAAGCACTGGGTGTATACGGGTCGGATTGTGTTTGCAGTGGCCAAATGGTCAAGATGGGAGTGGGGGAGGGGGGAGAGAGAGAGAGGGGGGGGGCGGAGAGCAATGCACCGGGCCCGGGGGAGGGGGGAGGGGAAGCGCTCAAAGACAACTCCGAGGAACGTACAGCACCAGGCAGGCAGTGGACCGACTGCTCGGCGATGAGGCGCTCACAGAAGCGGCTGTCATTGCCGGCAAACTCGGGCAGGGCCACCGGGTCGATCTTGACCATGACATACATGGCGCCCTGCGGGGCGATCGGCTGCAGGCCGGGGATCTTGCGGATGGCCTCGACAGTGGTGTTGGCGAGCTCCTGTCGGCATGGGGCGTGGCAGTGTAGGAGCGGAGGCTTAGCAACAGAGGGTCGTCGGCAGCTAAAGGGCATTTTCCGGACAAGAAGGCTTCAATGCCAGGGCCAGGCGCACCTCGAGCATGCGGTTGTTGTTGTCGAAGTAGGACTGCTCGGTCTCGAGGAGGATCGTCGGCAGGACGCCCTGGAGGAGGGAGTTGGCACCGAGAACCAACTGGGAGAGGCGGTTCAGACCATCGCGGATCTGCCGGGCGCCGGTGGGCGGGTCAGCAATGGCGTGTCAATGAACCCGCGGCAGGAGAGGGAGGGCAAAGAAATGGGTGGACACAATATGACAGGAGGGCCGGGAGGTGGCAGGGAGCCGCAGCGCACCTGGGCAAGCTGGCCATGACGATCGTGGATGGTCAGCCAGCCAAGGCGCCAGCCGGGGACCATGAAACGCTTGGCCAGGCCACCGGCCGAGATGACAGGCACGTCGGTGCTCAGCTACCCGGACAGCGGGGGAACAGCGAGGGAGGGGGAAAGACAACATGTGTCAGTGGGTGATGCAAGGCCGAGAGGGGGAAGACGGGGGCGAGAAGGCCGGCATGGGCCCGGCTGGGAGCGCGCGACAACAGCGAGACAGCCACATACACGAGCAATGTGGGTGAAGGTCTGGCCGGAGAAGACCATGTCGGCGTAAATCTCATCGGCAAAGATGGGCAGCCGGTGCTTTTGGGCCACTGACAGCGCGCGAGGGGAGGGCGTGAGCGAGGGCAAGGAGGGAAAAAAAAGGAGGACGAGGTGGGCGAGTGTCAGAGGAAGTGGGGGTGCGGGGGGGGGCAAGGAAAAAAGCCCACAGGGAGGAGACGGCAAACGGCGATCCAGAGACGGCCAGTGGGGGGGGGGGGGGATACCGTACCGGCGAGAAGCTCGAGGAGGTGAGCCTCGGAGTAGTTCGAGCCGCAGGGGTTCGAGGGGTTGGTGATCAGGATGAAGGCGGTCTTCGCGTCGATCAGGGCCTCGATCGACTCGATGCTAGCCTCCCAGTTCTTCTCGGCCTGCGGTGCGTCGGAGTGGCCAGGCACCACAAGGGGGAACACACGGAAGGGCAGGGGTGGTGAGGGGGGCGTCAAGCGAAGGGGGGCACTGGCGAGGGAAGGCAGCTTGAGGCGACGGAGCCGCGCTCTGCCCCGCCGGGCACGTACCACCAGATCGTAGTGGCGGACCTCGACGCCACGAGCCTCGGCGATGGTCTGGTACAGGGAGAAGCCCGGCCGGGGGAGGAGGATGTTCTGGCCCTCGTCGGCCATGGCGCTGATGGCCAGCTCAATGGCACCGGAGCAGCCCGAGGCAATGATCACATCGGCCGGGGTGAGGGGCGCGCGCGGGTCCGAGCCGTAGGCCTTGGCGATGGCCGCACGGGCGGACTCATACCCGGTGGACGGGGGGTACCCGTTGAACTTCTTGCTGTTGATGGCCTCGACGAGGGCGGCATTGACCGAGTCGGGGACGGAGAAGTTCCCGAAAATGGTCGGGTCACCTGGAGCGATGGTGTCAGTGGCAAGGGGCAGGCACTGGGGCATGAGGCGAGCGGCGAGCGAGTGGACAAACCGATGGACAGGCGGATGTCCGCCAGGTCGGGGTTCGGGACGGTCTTCATGCCATCAACGATCTGACGGATGGGGTTGGTGGTGCGCAGGGAGGAGGCGGAGGCCTTGAGAACCGGGAAGTCGGACATGGTCATCAACGGGAAGGGGGCTGGGGAGGACAGACGGGGGGGGGGAGGAAGTGAGGGCGGCTGGAGGGAGGGCGGCTGGGCGGTGGCTTAGGGAACTGGGCCTGGCCTTCCGGACGTAGCTTAAAAAGCCCACGCCCAGGCGCTAGTCACCGCCGCCATGTTACCT